TATCTATACTATATTATAAAGCATTTGGCTAAAACTCTTAAAAACTCTTAAACTCTTAAAACTCTTAAAGACAACATCTATTGCTAATGGTACAACCTGCTAAAACCATCCCTAAACCCGTTCATCCCTAAACGATTTCATCCTATCTGATTTCATCCATATCCTATTTCATCAAATACAGAATAAACATCTCATTTTAAATATAAAAAATCTAAAATATAATTAGGATAATTATGAATTCTAACAGAATACTTAATTATTATATTTATAAAATGTTATATTATTAAACCAAAAATAAACTATTTCATTATTAAACTTAAATTAAATTATAATAAAAAAAAATTAAAGAAATTACATAAAAAGTAAAAACTTTTAAATAGTTGATTTGATATTAAAATTGATATAATTTTTTTCAAATTTTTATGATATCTTCAAATTTATATTTTATTTAAAAATAAAATCATTATTGTTTTGTTTAAAACGCATAAAATCGTATTATAACATCAATAGAGACAAAGAATAAAATAGAACATTAAAATCAAGATGTGTCTCGCTGCATTGCGCGAATACTCTTCTAGTTTCCTGATAAAGACAATAAAACGTAGAAAAGGGTCATGCCTTGCAACGTAGCCTTTTTATGGGGTTTGCAGACCAATAAAACCAACCAGGGATCAACATCGCCGCCGGCCACAAACTACGGGAAGTTATGGCGTCTACCGCTTCCGGTGACGAGAAGACCGATAGGGAGGAGCAAGAAGAGGCTTTGGTCGCTTTGATCGAACATCGCGCCAAAGAAGTTGATCATCTTCGTACGCGTGTTGCTTATTATAAGTCCGAGGTTTTGTTACTCATTCCCTTCGATCGTAATCTCCTTAGATTTCTGTTATAATCGATTGATTAAAGTTTAGTGCAAGTTGGAGGTTGTTTGTTGATTTTTGCCTGTTAAAATTGGGGTTTGTTGTATAGTCGATGGAAGAAGATATTGGTTCTAGTGCTCTGCTTTAGGTTTTAAGAAGCAAAGGTAATATTGCTGACATTTTAGGGGAAATTGTTAGTGTATAATCAGAAAGTAGGAAAATAACTGAAGTGAAAATGATAAATGATGAAAATAGACCTTATAATGAAAAAAACTTATTCAGGAAGTGAATTTCAATGGTTTACTAGGGTTGATACAATGTCATATGGAAATTCCTGATTGCGTTTATTGCAGTTCTTTTAAATTATCTTTTTTATATTTGACATGTGTTATGTGTGAATGCATTGCTCCTTAGTATTTGTGGAGCACCGAGTAGTCGTTCATTCTTGAGAATATGTTGGTCTATAAATTTTAAGTTGGATACCCATGTGAGAAGATAAAAATTGATGACATTTTAGGGAAATTGTTAATGTAGGTTAATCACACAATGGGAAAATAACTGAAGTTAGAAATTGGGTGATGATGAAAATATACCTTGGAATGAAAAATTAAGGATGTGTCGACTCATCTAGGAAGTGAATTTCAATGGTTAGTTTGGTTTGATACGATGTCATGTGGAGATTGATGATGGATCATTGCAAAGATTACAATTTCTATGTCTTATGTGTACGTGTGAATGCATTACGCAAGTGTAAATACATGCGTCTTAGTGTTTTTGGAAAACATGAGTAGTGGTACACTCTTGAGAATAAGTTCGTTTATAAATCTTGTAGCTTGATATGCATGTATTATGCTACATGGCTTCCTAGATGAGAAGATAATCACTTGCTAAATTCAAGTTTGTATGTAAGAAGCTTTCCCATTGCTACTACTTCTTTGCTCACACTCTTGCATATGCTGGGGTTCTTAATGGAAACACTTGTTATCTTTAACTGTTCACTGTCATGTTGGTGTTGGATGTTAGATTAGATCATACAGAATACTAAGAATAGAAGTCGTGCCGAATGTGATTAATGATAAGACCGTTGGAGTGAAATAAGGATCTTTTTTCAGGGAAGTGTTATTGTTGGAAGGAATAATTGCCATGAATGTATCTATGGCGAGGGGCGCTTCAAGTCTTTTAATCCCAAGCATATAATAATTTTAAGTTGGTTATCCATTGGTTGTAGTTTTGCTGTGTGGCAAGAGCATGCCCTTGTTATATTGGATGGAACTTCTTTCCTTTTGTGTTACTTGCAAATCTTTACATTGTAATGAATAATCATTTCCTTTTCTAAATTGGGCAATAAAAGCTAATATCTTTTTGGAGAAGGTATGCAGCTTGATGAATCTGAGAAGAGGTTGGAGGAAACACAACGTAAATTGGCGCGCCTTCGAAGTCGAGGCAATGCTGTATCATCTACAAAATTTTCTGAAAATGGTATAAAAGTAAAAGAAGAGAGGAGATCGTGCAGTCCTTTAAAGATCAGTGAACATTCTTTACCGAACCATGCTGATAGAGGTAATGCGAACTCCTACAAGAGCTACACGCCGGATCATCCTAGAATTGCAAAACATGAGCAGAGGCCACAGCTTGTTATTCCTGCCGTGGATCCGAAACAATCTGCACTGACCAAAATGGCAGAAACCAGCAGTAAACCTTCAAGTGACTTCAGCTCTCGGCCCAGCACATCAGTTCCAACATATGGCAAAAGCATGGTGAAAGAAAAAGGATATAGAATCCCACCTGAACAGGAAGGTGTTGAGACACAATCCAGAGGGACAAAAAGGAAATTTGGTAATATTTGCCACTTCTGCAATTAGTGGGTCCTTTGGTTAAGTGACATTCTGGCATGTTTTTTTTTTTTTATAAAATCCATAATTTTCTAACGTAATTGAGAATCCACTGCTTAACAAAAGAATGCCACTTCCATATGTAAGAATGCGTAGAAACCTGTTAGAAGGTCATGGATTTAAAAAGGATCTCATTGGGTAAATTATCCGTTATTAGGTTAGCACGGCAAACTCTGTTTATGCATGTGTGCAAAAAGGTCTTTATTTGCAGCGACACCGTGCATGAGATTCGTGTCACTAATCCATCATAATTTTGCATACTTGTTTGATTTAATTGGACGCTTACTGGTTTTGCCAAAAATATTTCGGATTGCAGAGCAGCGTGAACACAGAGATATAATTCAGATGGTAAACAGTTCATCTTCACCACGCACAATCAATTGCCGGTCGTCCAACCACATCTCATGCCAGCATAAGAGAAAGTTGAGAAGTCTTGCCTTGTGTCCTACGAATGATCAGCTTTTTGTGACTAGGTACCCAAGTCCTCTCAACTTTTCATACCTAGGAAACTGGTAGAACAATATAAGATATTTCTTTCATTAAAGCTTCAAATACTAAGGATAAAAGATGGCAGTGGCGTTACCCTTGTTCTAACGGTTTTCTAATTTATCTTCATCTTTAACTGCTTCATCTTAGCTAACATTCTGAGTTTAGTTGTAAAAATACTAATACAAAATGGTTTACTTATTTGTTGGTTAGGTTAACATTAACCTTATTTTTGGCAACTACTAGAGTCGAGATAACATTTTATGCTTGACATAGTGAGAAATTCTCCATGTAATCTGATGAGAGGTGTCTAGCTTTTACTGATTAATGAGACATACTTTAGTATCAAGAATTCTGACAAAATTGATGAAAAAAATGGAGGCTCAAATCGTTATCTCTTATTTTGGAACTCAACTTACAATATTGATTTTTTTCTGGTTTTTTGTTCTTTTTTCCTCTTAATTCCTCTTTAGTCTTGTTCATTTAGTTACCAAAGTGGCACAACTCACCAAAAGTCCTAGTTCAATCCTTGTTGCGATAATGTGTGTGTGTGTGTATATACAGAGTCAAGCTCATACGAGAACATTAACTAAATAAGAAAACAAGAACATAGTCGAGTCACATGTGATCTTACACTAAAATCACGTATAAAATCACATGTGATTCACGCGATTTAGGTTGCAGGCCACGTCGCTCGCACACCCTTTTGTTGACGCTTAATGTAAAATCACATGTGAATTTGTACGTGATTTGACTGTTTTTGTATTCTCTTACTTAGTTGCTGTTCTCGTTTGAACCCCCTCTATATATACATATATTTGCACTCTTACAAGGATCTGTTACTGACTATGCTCTGGAATGCTTTGCAGTGCTTTGGATGGACTTGTAAATCTATGGCAAATTCAGTCTAGAGGGTATGTTCTATATCACATGCTCTGTTATCATTACCTGTTTCATGTTTACTATCCATTGGATTCTTGAGAAGCTTTCAAGATATTTCTATCCCCTCTTTCTTATCCAGTGCCTTGCTTTCTTCTACTTTTTGCAATAAGTATTGTGTCTTTAAACCTAGACATTCTAACTCAGCATCTTAATTCATCTTAAAAGTATTATTAATAGCATTTTCAATATCTTTTTTAAGTTATGGTTAACTATAGAATACTTTGTTTGCAATGGTTTAATTGATGTTAGATTCATATTATGATGCTCCTTCATGTAAGAGAAATGGAGATGATATGTAGACACCATTGAATACTCGTTTGCCGGGCTTTTGGACAAGACTATAGCCTAAATTACTGTAACTGCCTTCATTGATTCATAAGATGTTAAGTGTTTTTGTAATAAGCTTGGCTGACAAATATAGAGACACATGCAACATTATCTGTGTCTAAGGCCAGAGGCACTCTGGTTATTAAGGGTGCGTTTGGTATGTGAGACAGTAAAGGACATGACTGAACAAAAACTTCTTGCACCAAGTTTGGTTCGACAATTAGGCAGGGACTTGACTGAGTGGGACAAAAATGCATTTTTTTCCTTCCCACCAAAATAGGTGGAAGAAAATAAGGGAGATTGGACAAGCTTGGTAAATGACTAAAGTACTAAACTACTCATGTCAAATTAAAACGCTAAAACCTTTCGAACACCCGTCTCTACCTCGATCTCGCTGTCCATTCGTGTCATATCCCATCTAGTTCGGTCTCATCCGCATGCCAAATGCACATTAAGGGAAGTGCAGAAACAAATTGCATTGTTCAACCTATACTTCTTACATCAAATCAGTAGCTATTTGATGCAGGGCGATAAGTTTAAGATAGGTTTTGGGTTAAAACAATTAAAGTTGAATTATGGATTCTATAGTTCACTCCTAGAAGCGTGGATAGAATGCCTAGGATCTCTTGAGCATCACATCCAAAATAACATACAATATCTCACCATAGATAATTGGTGCATACAATTGAAGAGAACATAATTTCTGAACCTCAATCTCATTCAATCATCTACTAATCGATCTTTGGGATTCATCACTTTATATAGGTAAAAGGAATGGAATTTCAGGAGTAAGAAAACAAATAAAGTACTCAAGTACTTTTCATAACTAATATCCCACATATATCGACCAAACTCCCCTAAATCTACAACAATTAATAATAATACCTCAATTACAACAATTACTAATTATTTAACATCATATAAAATGAAGCACTATTCTAACATATATTTCTCGCTCTAATCTAATGACCCCTGCCTTATTTGCTCTTTTATTATTTTGTTCCTGGTCACACACCCTTTTGTTAAATCATACTTCACTTGATATTTCAGACATTCTTTCTTTGCTTCACATTTCAGGATTTTGTTCTTGATATCATGTAATGTCTATTAGAAGCTTTGTCGGTATTGTGATCATACATCTATTTATATTTTCTAATTTAGTTAATTACTCAAGCATGGTTAGTGATTACTATTTATTATTGTTGTTATTATCTGTTATTGTTAAGAACTTAAAGCTTGATTTTGGGTGGAAACTGCAATAAAGGAACCTCAACATTTTAAGGGTGTATGTGTAATAAACCTTATAATTTCTAATTTTTAAGTCCAATTCAATGCCATCCAACTTATTGAAGGTTTTTAGCTGGCATTGGTATCTTATGGGGAAAGTTGTAGCATAATTTTGCTTTTCTGGAACACTAAAAAATCATTTATTAATTTCAATTTGCAAGTCTTTAATTTGTTTTTTTTTTTTGAAAACAGGTCAAGTGCAAGTCTTCTAAGTACAGCCGATTGTGCATCTACCAAACATAGGAGATGGCCAGAAGATATAGCTTGGCATCCACATGGAGGCAGCTTGTTCTCTGTCTACAGTGCTGATGGTGGGGACTCTCAGGTAGCAGTCCTCAACCTGAATAAAGGAAAAGAGGTAAAAACTTATATAATATGCTACTTTTCGACATGCATAGCGACTCCAGACAAATTATTGTTTCATCTTCTTTATATTTGTTTGTGAATTGTGATATATGCATGCTGGTGCAATCTTTTCATTTTTGTCAATTGCTGGATTGGAGGTGCCTCCTAATTGGTTTGTACTTCCCCTATAGCCCTGAAAGCTTAAATCAAGACATTTAACATATCCATAAGCTGGAACTATATGTGGGTGGGATGTTTGATCAGCATTTAACTTTACAATAGGCTAGCTACTTAAAAAGAGGGGTGGGTGGGTATATAACAATTCTTTGATATCGTAGTAACTGTTTGGTTGGTTTTCCATTAAGTCATGTATGAATAAAGCTGTCTGTGTGGATTAATCTCTTTGTATAGATTTGGAAGGTTTTTGTTTCGGAGGGTTTTTTAATAGATGGAAGGAGCAGGTTTGGGAAAGAAACTTGGCTTTCTACATAAAGCTTCCCCTAAAAAGCTTACTGAATAAGCCACTTTCTATATCATTAATCCACTAAAAAACAGTCATGTATAGCTGACCAGATAAGCTGAGTCTCATTAAGCTGCTAACATACACGCCCTATGCATTCTAAGCCTCTAAGGTGCATTATGTATATATATAGATGAAAACAATATTAATTTGTAGCTCTTATCAGAGAACAAGTTGTGGTCTGTTATAGTTGCAAGGGGTTGCATTATGGTATACTTGTTTGTTCTTATGAAACACCCTTGAATGTCTTTTGGATGGTGTTGGAAATTCCGCATATCATGGATAAGTTGAGAGAGGGAAGACTGCAGTGGTTTGGTCACTTCCGTAGGAGACAAATGGCGGCTCCAGTGAGGAGAATAGGAAGTGATGGTTAGACCGAGAAGGACATTGGATGAGCAACTGAGGTTAGACATGGTGGCTTTAGGCATTTCCGAGGATATGATCTCTGATAGGAGTTATTGGAGACGCAGGATCTGTAGCTAGCATAGGCAGGAGCTGTAGAGGTAGAGGGTTGAAGGTAGGTTGGTTGTTGGGTTGTTTTTCCATCAAGTTGTTGGGTTGGTTGTTAGGTTGTTTTTCCATCAAGTCCTGTATGGATAAAGCTGTCTGTGTGGATTTTCTGTTTGTGTAAATTGGGAAGGTTTTTTCGTAGATGGAAGGAGTGTGTTTTTAATTGGGAGGGACATATATGTAAAAAACTTGGCTTTCTGCATAAAGCTCCCCCTAGAAGCTTACTGAATAAGCCACTTTCTATATCATTAAGCCACTATCAAGTAGTCATGTATAGCTGACTGAATAAGTTCTGAGTCTCATTAAGCTCATCAAGCTTCTAACAAACATGCTCTTAGTTAATGTGGCAGTTAGGTTTTTGCAGTCCTTTGGTTTGGTTTCTTATGGAACACCCTTATCAACTTATGTTGGTATCATTTCCCTTATTTGTGGATGCTAGTCGAGTCCCCCTTTAAGCAATTGAATTAATATCATTCTACCATACTTCAATCAACGCTTTTGTAACTTGTAAGCATTGTGTTTTTTTTTGAATAACTTGTTGCATTTTAAGCATTAATTATACGAACTTTATATTTGGATTTCAAGGTAGCGACTAATTTTATTACATTGATTGCATTTACACCACAGAAGAAGCGTGTAACTTTCTTAGAAGACAAACCACATGTAAAGGGTATTATCAACAACATAGTGTTCATGCCATGGGAAGACGTTTGTTTTGTGACTGGTGGAAGTGATCATGCTGTTGTTCAATGGACCGAGAAAAATGGGGAGGACTCATGGAAACCGAAAGTGTTGCATAGAAGCATGCATTCTTCAGCTGTAATGGGAGTTGCGGGGATGCAACAAAAGCAGATGGTAGTCTCTGTTGGTGCAGATAAGAGGATCATCGGGTTCGATTTACAAACCGGAAGAGCTGATTACAAGCATCAGATAGAAAGCAAGTGTATGAGCGTTCTACCAAATCCTTGCGACTTCAATCTTTTTATGGTTCAAACCAGGTAAAACACATTTCATCTCTCCAATTTTAGTACCATGATTTAGAGCTAATATTTCTGTTAATTCCTTTGTCCCAAAATAAGTGTCCATATTTCTATCAAGTCCTGTATGGTTAAAGCTGTCTATGTGGATTAATCTATCTGTATAGATTGAGAAGGTTTTTTTTTGGGAGGGTTTTTCATAGATGGAATGAGCATGTTTTTTAATTGGGAAGGGTAGGTTTGGGGAAAACTTGGTTTCTACATAAAGCTCTCCCCTTACTGAATAAGCCACTTTCTATATCATTAAGCCGCCACCAAACTGTTATATATAGCTGACTGAATAAGCTGTGAGTTCCATTAAGCTCATTAAGCTGCTAATAAACATGCCCAATTTGTCCCAGAATGTGTCCAGGTCCGAGGTGCAAGCTTGAATTCATATGGACCATCCTTCCACTCCCCAAACCTGCAATCCGTCAAAATATTTACTCCCTTGTCCTTAAACAAGTGCCCATATTTCTAATTTAGTTTGTCCTGAAATAAGTGTTCACTTTCAAAGTAAGTCCATACAAAGGCGGACCCAATTTTTTTTCAAGTGGTGGCACAATTTGACTATAAAAAATATCCTCTTTTCTTCATCTTCACAATAATAGTATAAGTCTGATGGTTGGTTCATTGTCTTTACATAGAAGAGACCTATGTTCTAGTTATGTATATATATATTTTAATGATACAAGAGGTATATAAAAGAACACTGAAATTTAAGCTAATTTTTTTTGACAATACTGGGACTTGAACCTGGGTCTTTTGTACAAAGGCAAGCGCATTTATCATCTCAGCCATTAACGTCTTGTGCTAATATTTCAGTTCCAAAAACTATATGGTGACACCCAACAAAAACAATAGGGTAACACCCTTCAGAAGCATAATTTTTTTCCCCTTATGATGGAACCATGAAGCGGTGGCCTGCATCATCGTATCATTCCATTTGGGTCCACCCTTGAGTGCGTACTTATCAGTTTTACCCTTCATCATGAGATGGAGAAGTTCATTACTCTTTCTATTATTAAGGGCAAAATTGTCATTTAGTTGATTAAAAAGTGTATCTTTACACATTTTTTAAATTGTGGGCCTTTTTCAACTTGGAGATTAGTCCACTAACAGCTGGACTCTTCTCAGGCAAGTATTGTGAAAATATAACTAGCTAAATTGAGGAATGGATTGGATGGGCGAGAGTGAAGTAGACAGGTGAAAGAATTGTGGAAAGTTTTTGGGTTTTAATTTGACATGGGTAATTTAGTAATTTACCAAACTTGTATTATCTCCATGATTTGTTCCACCTATTTTGGTGGGATAGAAAAAAATGCATTTTTGTCCCACACATTTTTGTCCCACTGAGAACATGTTCAGTCCAAGTCTAATGTCGCACCAAACGTGAGACAAGTTTTTGTACTATCCTGCCATGCGTAACAAACGCACCCTAAGTTCATAACCAGAGTGGCATAGGAAAGATTCTCGGTGGACACAAGAATCAAACTAGGCTTTCGTTCTAGGCTGTCATTCAAAGGTGCTTTTAGGTCCTTCTTGTTAGCAACTTAATGAGACTCGCAACGTATTCGGTCATCTATACATTATTGGTTGGTAGTGACTTAATGATATAGAAAGTGGCTTATTCAGATTGCTCTTAGGGGGAGTTCCACGTAGAAAGCCAAGTTTTCTTTTCAAATGGCCCCTTACAATTAAAAAACAAGTTCCTTCCATCAATGAAAAACTATCCCAAATAAAAACATCCTCAATCTATACATACAAATTAATTCACGCATACCGCTTTATCCATACATAACTTAATGGAAAAACCAACCAATTCTATTTAACATTTTGATCATTTTACGTCTTATTTGCAGTACTCCACAAAGGCAGCTTCGACTTTTCGATATCAGGTTACGGCGAACGGAAATCCACGAATTCGGTTGGAAGCAAGAAAGCAGCGAGTCTCAATCCGCCTTAATCAACCAGACATGGTCCCCAGATGGCTTCTATCTAACCTCCGGTTCAGCCGACCCAATGATCCACATCTTTGACATCCGGTTTAACGCTAACAAACCCTCCCAGTCCATCCGAGCTCACCAAAAACGAGTCTTCAAAGCCTCGTGGCACCACTCTCTCCCCCTCCTCATTTCCATATCCTCAGATCTCAATATCGGATTACACAATATTGTATAAAAACCAAAACCCGACCACCCAAGTTAACCGTGCTCCCCCCCCACCCATCTTGCTCAGCTTTTTCGTGGTTACATCATCTTTCCTTGTATGATCGTTAAGAACTTCTTCCGTACATGGTTCTTGTCGGAAAGCTTTGGCTTCTAGTTTTTATTCTGAAGCGGTTTTGGTTGCGGACGAGCGACGACCGAAGTAGACGACACAACGTTCGAGTTAACCAAGAAACAACACAGTTTTGTGATCTGAGGAGGTAAAATGCATACAGTTTTTAGGGCTTTTGTTAAGTGCAATGTTGTTTGGTAGACATTCTTAAAAATATGTGGGTATCTGCTATTTTTCATGCATGAATACATAGATAATTACCATCGTTTATTTGATATTAGACTTATGCTGAAGTCAGGGGTTTTAACGGAAACAAATACTTTTTAAGGTAGATGACATGTCTGCTTACATCTCATCTTCCGGATCCTACTTTTAACTGAAATACACCGAGTTTGTTTAACCTTGGTGGGTTTATTTTACGGTTTGGAGAGAACAAATTTTGTTTTGGTTTCGGGATAGAATTTATCTGTCGGGGTCGGTTTAAATAAGAAAACTAAATATCGTGAGAATGTAAGAATGGAAGATTAAGGGAAGATACCAAAGGGCCTTTGGTTTAGCAGTATCGTAGCTTTTGGTCTTCTAGGAGGTCAGGGATTCAAACCACATCAAAGGTGAGGAGAGTGTGTAAGTTTATTCGTTGCATAGAAAAAAGGTTAACGGAAGATTCATATATGGATAACTGAAAGAATCTATTTGAAGATTCATATATGGTCGTTTACCAAACGCTTATCCGGGTAAGCACTTATCAAGTCACATTGCCTTAGCGAATCAATATGGCAAGGACCAAGAATCTTACCCGGTAAGAGCGAAGGCAAGGACTGAGAGTCTTAGTCGGTAAGTGACGGCGATGACTCTTACCACGGTTAGCACTTACCAGGTTAGTTGTTACATATGATACCATTTTGGTGGACTAAAATTTTACCCGGTAAGTAATTGATAGTTTTGAATTTTTCCGGTAAGCACTTGCCCAAGTAAGTGTTGGTAAACAGCCCCTGACGTTACAAATTATTCATATAAGTTTACATATGTATGATTTTTTCAATGATTCACATGTGAATTTTCCTTATTTACTTTCTCATAGTATTTAGCCTTTTTATTTGAACCTCCTACGTTTTACATGTTTGCTCGCACTCTTGCATAAGTTGCGGGTTTTCACGGAAACAAACGTTTTACTATTTGGGGGTGGATGTTAGGTCGGTCTACATCTCACCTCCTTTAGAGTCTATTTTCGAGTGAGATTCACTGGGAATATCTGGTTTTGATTTATTTCAGTATTGTGTGTGGTTGGTTTGATAAATTACCATTAATTTTTTGCTTGTATGAATTAATACAGTCGTAGGCTAAATTAGGGATGGTAATGGGGCGGGGACCCCAATACCCGTCCCCGTCCCCGATCCCCCCTATGTGTCCCCGTCCCCGTCCCCGCCGGGGATTATGATCACATCCCCATCCCCGTCCCCAACGGGGAAACGGGGATCCTCTCAAGTCTCAACATACATAAAACAAAAAACAAGTAAACAACCCCATGGTTGATAAATATGAAATTGGAATACAACATTTAATCTCCATCTAACTTCTTTTACAAGAGAAGTCACCAAATCTATGTTTGCAAGATATGTATCAGATTTACACTAAGCTTGCACCATATGAAGATAAAGTCTCCAATTTGAAAAGAGGATTGGTTGCTATAACTCCTGGGATTCTAAGAGCTACCATATGGGCAGGAATGACTGATTCCAGCTAGTGTTTGTGTTAGGTAGAAATAAAACGTATTTGCTGTCTCCAGACATAAAACTTGAAAGAATAGAAAGATTGCACACAGGAACTGTGATAAGAAGTCCTGCAGGGTATGTTTTAACTTTTAAGTACTCATCCGGTTGTGATAAAAACTGTGATAAGAAGTCCTGCAGAAACTATGAAAGAATGCACACAGGAACATTAAAACAACCCTAAGTTAAAGTGCTAAACATAAGCATCTGTAAAACATTAACAAATGGTTTGTAACAAGTGAAACAAAAACAATCAATGAGTCAAACAAAGTAAAATAGTCGAACACAGCAAGCCACCAATTTCACAACTAGGTTTTCCAATCAAACAAAATTAGAAACATAAAAAATAAAATAAGTAATATAATAACCCTAAGTTAAATCCCAAACCTCAACACAAGTCAGTAGTCACAAAGAGAGGGGGCGACATGCGAGTGGCCGGAGAGCGAGAGTGGGAGCCGGGAGGCAGAGAGCGAGAGCGACCGGCGACGACAGAGGCAGTCGCAGTCGAGAGAGGCAGAGAGCGAGAGTGAGAGCCAATCATCATTATTGAAGCCTATTGAAAACAATTTTATAGCAATTTTATCAATTTGGAAATRCAAATCAAGGGAGAAGTAAAGAAGAAGACTGAAGAAGACAATCTTAGTTCACAAATCAAGGGAGAAATACAAACCAGTGAAGTGAACGTGTAGGGAGAGGGAGAGCCGGAGACCGTCGCTGTCGCTGCCGCTGCCACCGTAGCTGTCGTCGTCGTTGTCGCTATCGCCGATTAGGGTAGGGAGAGGGAGTCGTATCGTATTGAGGACTGAAGAGGGAGACAGGGAGTCGTCGTATCGTCAATAGGGATTCTAGGTTGGTCCTGGTTGCTGGGTTTGAAGGAGACGATGAATGAGAAGGATGCTAGGGCTGAACACATTCTTTAGACTCTAATACAATTAACAGGCCCAAGCCCAAAGCCCGCAATACATATATATAAAACGGGGCGGGGCGGGCGGGGAGTGCTGTACCCGTCCCCGGCTTGAGCTAAGCGGGGATCCCCGTCCCCGTCCCCGGGACCCGATTTTTCAGGGAATCCCCGTCCCCGATCGGGGAGGGTGGACCGGGTTACCCGACGGGTCGGGGTCCATTCCCATCCCTAGGCTAAATGCATCCCTTTCTGCTAATCACTTTCTTATACATATTAATATTAAAGCTTATTTTTTACATCTTCAATACATGATTTGATCTGATTCTAAAAGACAAAAATGACCATGTATTTAGAAATTTGAAAAAAGGAAGAATTCAGAAGATATAAAACTGGAGACTAGAAAGAAAAATATGTCAAAATTATCAGATTCTGATATTACTGATTACTTTGGATGTATATATAAAAACCTTAATAATATTCAGTTTAACCGAACTGATTTTATTGTTATTTTCTGCTTGGTTAAATGAACTAAAAGAAGACTCCGTTTAGATTCATGATTTTATAGTTAATCTGTATTTTCTATTTAAGATTCTGTTTAAAAAATACCCAACTGATATATACCTACCGTTTCGTACCCATCTCGAGAGACGATGGTAGCCATGGAAAGAAGTCGATGGAAACGACAAGAAACACAAAGTAAAACAACACCCAAAATTGTGCATGTATCTTTGACTTTTTTCCTTTTCTTAAGAAGAAAATATAAAGTGATATTGTCGTGTTATTTAAAAAGTCTTGGTTATCAATGTTAACCACAAAAATACGAAAAACATGTCATCGAATTTACAAAATCATGTTAATTAACGTCAAAATCCAGGAGAAGGGACGACGACACGAGGGACCGTGGATATAGAAAAGGACAAGATAGGGGGCGATAAGAGACGGTGGACGACTTGGTGTGACAATGATGGATTGGAATCATTGGGGGCCAGAAGATATGTGAGATGCTATAATAAAACTGAGTTTAAATGATGCCTAAAATCTGTAAGTTGTCTGATGGGTTGCTTTACAGAAGTTAAGGGGTTGTTTGTTTACCTTTTAATAGTTTCATTAAGAAGCAACATCTGAATTGTTAAGAGATGAATCTTGTTTGGCAAATAAAAAGTGTGCCTTTTAATGGTTCTAAAATACTCTGAATGATTTTGCATTCTGAGTCTCCTTTAACCATTCAGCGCTCTAATTTCATTGTAAACAATTACCAAGCAATTATATTTAATTTTGCATTATATCATGAAAGACTCTTAATCACTCTGACCATTTAATCATTCTGTACCAACCATTCAGCAACTACCAAATTATAAAGTGTCATATCTAAAAGTGTTATGATTTATAGGACGTTTTTAAATATTATAACAAGTTTCTTAAGACATTTTAAAAATAAAGTATCATTAGTTTATAGAACACTTCTCAAAAGTGTTCTGTAAAACAGCTAACAAAATACTCTATTTTAGAATGTTCTAAAAAAATGGGTTTATAGAATATAGTACTTCTCAAAAGTATTTTATAAAATAGCTGATAAAATGTTTTACCTTAAAATGTCCTAAAATTGTTAAAATGTACAAAAACATTTTATAAATTTATCATAACACTTTTAGATTGGGCTTTTTATAATTTGATTCTATAAACTTAATGGTTAAGTGGTCAGAATGGTTTGATGCAGAATGATTAAGAGACTTTCATGATATAGTACAAAATGAAATATAATTGTTTGGTAATTGTTTACAAAGAAATTAGGGTGTTGAATGGTTAAGGGAGATCCATGATACAAAATCACTCAGAGGATTTTAGAATTATTAAGAGGCAAATTTTTTTTTTGTCAAATAAAATTCACCTCTTAACGATTTAGAGACCGACTCTTAAACTAATGTTAAACAACATAAATATAAAGTTAATATATAAATTAAGTTTGACAAACCATACCTTTGAATTTGAGTTAGTTTTATTCTGATGATTTTGAAATATTAATACTGAATTAAAGGGTATAATAGTAATTTTATCATTTATTATTCTTTCTACTTTTTATGCATTGTAATCTATTTTGTTTGAACATTTGAACGTTTGCAAGTTTTATTTCTTTAAATACAGAATCCTTAAACATCATGTTACTTGAAAACTAAAATTATCACTCAATATTTAACTGAAATGACAAATTTTTTAACATGCAACTTGAAATTGATACAAAATCAGTATGAACTGAAAAAAGGGTAGTACCAAATACAGTTGATTGGTACAGGATACTGAATGTTATAAACCAGTTATAATTCTGATATTGGAAAAAAAACTTGATATCATACCAAATTTACACCTAATTTTTTGGGCATTTTTTTAAAGTTATGTGTAACTCATATCATTTCTAAGGCGGCGTTTACTAAAGAATTATTCAGTAAACATTTACCGGGTTGTTTACCTTGCCAGATGAACATAGTAAGAACCAAGAATCTTACCCAGTAAAAGCGATAGTAAGATAGAGAGTCTTACCCAGTAAGTGATGTCATGACTAAAAGGAACAACTCTTATTACGGTAAGCGCTTACCGGATAAATTGTTGCATATGATACCGTTTTGGTGGACTAAAATCTTATCCAATAAGTAAATGATAGTCTTAAATTTACCTTTAAGCACTGACCGAGTAAGTGTTTGGTAAACGGCTTCTAAGTTTCAACGAAAAATAATTTATTTTGAAATCTAAAATAAACTTAAATGTAAATTAACGAATAATTATATATTAAAATTTTCTAAAATCTAAAAAAAAAAAAATTA